GGCGTGGTGGCGCGCGTGCGTACTCCAAGTGTACTCCAAGCACTCGGGAAGCTGAGGCAGGAGGATCACCGCTAGTTTGAGGCCAGCCTTGGCTACATACTGAGTTCCAGGCCAGCCCAAATTACACAGCAAGACCCTGTCTCAAAAAAAAAAAAAAGACAATAAAACAAAACAGAAGAACACAGTAGAAAGTCTAACCCATAAATAAATAGTAGGATAGGATACCTTCTCCTGCCCTAACCACTTCTTGTCTTAAACACATTTGCTAGAATTCAACCTTCTCTGTCCTGTGTTTGTACTGTTTACAGAGCCTGGGGGTAGCAATAAATAATGCATCACTCAGTTCACACTGAACACTTCTTGGCATGAGTAAAATTAGTAGGTCTCCCAGGGCCTTTATCATCCCAGAGATAGGGGACCAGATTTAGGTGATCAGCTCTTCTCCAGGGCCTTTTGAAGTCTCCCAGCCCAATAGAATAATCAACCTGGTTATTGTGCATGGTGGCTGGAGCTTATTTCTTCTTATTCTAGGGACATTTCTTGCTTGTCTGACAGCTTCTGGCTCACTCGCTGGTTCCCAGTATCCACTTTCCTACAGACCCCGAGAGAAATACATATTCCAAATTATGGGTCACTCTGTCCAGTGCTTGGTACACGGCAAGCACCAGTAAATATTTGGGTGAACTGATAAAGAGACAAATGTGTGAAAACACCTTGAAAAAATGGCACGTACTCCACTGACGTTACCTTCCTTCTTTCAGCATCCAGCTGCAGGAGCCAGCCTGCAAGCTAACCTAGGGGTAGGACAAGGAATAAAAAGAAAGAGACAAATTTCCAAGCAAGGGGGATATGGGTTCCTGCCTCAAGAGGGCAAGAGCGCTGGGAGTCTAGAAAGTTCCATTTTTATTAGTAAAACAAGGCGATGTAGCGATCACACAATCCACGGTTCAAGAAATTGTAAATGATGACCAAGGAATCATGACAATCTCACACCCAGAGGGGTAATTTTCTTTGTCTAGCCCTTGGGTGATGTTGCTCTGCCCTGGGGTATTGTGAATGTCGTCTTTCCTGCACACAAACACGGGAGGGGGCAGCCTTTCACCTCCTCTCCTGTCCCCAGGAAAGGGCCACAGGGCCTCAGTTTCTGGGGCTGATCACGTAGCCCTGTCTCCCACAGCTAGCAAAGATTTCCTTCCAGTTTGTCCTTATTTTAGAATATAGTTTGGTCAAAAGATAATTGAGGTCAACCCATTCGGGACCCCTCCTGTCTCAGGAGCTATTCCTATTCCTCGTTCCCCACTGCTGGTCTCCAGTAAATTTTCCTACTCTTAAAAAAAAATAACTGAAACCTAAGCTTTAGCAAGTCATAACCCATTAACTTAAAACAACACAATATATAATTACTTATACAACCTGGAGGTAACTACAAATACCTAAAATTTTACCCCTTTCCCCCTTAAGAGATTTCTATAGTGGGAAAAAATCTTAATTCTTACAGGTAAGTGAAAGATGATTATTTTCTGGAAGCCCCTTGAAGTTGTCTTAAAAGTATTTGTCATTGCTCTCCAAGTGAACTTTGTGTGAATCCCTAGAAACCTAACCCCACTACTGACAATCAATCAGAAATCCATACCAAAGGGTGCCACGCTGGAATTATTAAATGAGTCACATGAATGTCCTAGTTCATTTGAAGTTTTTTTTTTTTATTTCTAAGTCAGTTTCCTCAACTAGTTTGTGAGTCATCAAATCTGGGTATAAAGCAAGAAAACGTGAACTTGGAATAGAGTCTGGGTCTAAACAGACTTTACAGGGTATGTTCACCAGCTTTCTGTTGCTGTGACAAAATACCTGAGAAAATAAGTAAAAAGAGGAAAGGTTTGCTTGGGCTAATGATTTCAAAGGTTACAGTCCATGGTTCCCTGGCTCCATTACCCTGTGCCTGAGGTAGAGCAGAATATCATAGTGTCAGGAATGTGTGGAAAAGAACTGGCTCACCTCACAGCCGTCAGGAAGCAAAGAGAGCTTGAGAAGGGGGCTTAGAACAAGCTACATCCTTCCAGGGCACAACCTCCAGTGACTTACTTTCTCCAACTAGACCCCACCTCCTACAGACTGCACCGCCTCCCAATGGTCTACCTGATTATGAGCCTATAAGTGAATTAACTGATTAATGAGATCAGCACTCTCAGGAGCTACATCCCAAAGCCCCACCTCTGACTACTACCCAGGGCCTTCACCAGGCCTTCAACATGTGAATTTTAGAGGGACTCCTAAATCCAAACCATAACATAAGACTTCTGTGGAGATTAAATGGAGTGATGATTTTTTTAAATTGTCTCATCTATTGAGCACATATTTCTTTCTTATTTTATTATTTTTTAAATTTTTTGTCTTTTTGAGACAGGGTCTCCCTATGCAGTTCAGGATGGCCTTGAGCTCACTTTGTAGCCCAGGATGGTCTCGAACTCACAGCAATCCTCCTGCCTCAGCCTCCCGAGTGCTGGGATTACAGGCATGCACCACTATGCCCGGCTTCTTTCTTTCTTTCTTTTTTTTTTTTGGTACCTAGAATTGAACCCAGGACCTCACAATTGCCAAGCAGGTGCTTGTGCCCCTGAGCTATATCCCTGGCCCTGAGCACATATTTTATATTGCATATAGAGCTGGGTGTGTTGCAAATACTAAGTCAGTTAATTTTCAAAAAATGGACTTTGAAATATCTATTGTTACCCCTACTCCATTCTTAACAGATGAAGAAACTGAAGTTCTTGGAGACTGAAAAACTGGCCCAAGACCCCACGCCTTATGAAGGTCTAGGTAAGAAGTCCTCGAAGGAGGGCCTGAGCTGAGATGCACGTGAACCGAAACTCACCATGAAAATGTCGGGTGACTTCCAAGTGTCTCTGAAATGATGGTTTCTACGTCTTTCCCTCCTCCACCCCCAGATAGCCCTCTTATCTGGCATAGTGGACCAAACAAACCCACTTAGCTGATCTGGCCACAGATCGTCATGTGAGAAAGGCCCTTCTCTCTGCTTCCTCATCTGTGTCTTCCCAGTTTCCATATTAGTAACCCTCACACAGACCGCCATGGCCCACACATGTCACGAGTGCATACTGAAAACTCAGAAAACTTGCAACGATCCACTTTTCCAGTTGCCCAAATACTCCAAAGAAATGGGGTGACTTTTGCCAGGTGACAACAGCAGGCAAGGGCATGGGGTGGGATGTGGGATCCACATCACGACACCGGTAGAAAAAGATCCAAGTCTTCTGCTTTTCTCCCTCCATATCGGTGGCACAGGATTATACTCTCTGGGCAGTGTGGTGTTCATGTATAGATTTTTAAACTATGTATACCGTAATTGTAGGGTGTCAATCTGCTCAGGTGGCAAAATTAACTATGCGCTCAGCTTTTAAGCGGCTTAAGAATAGACACATTGATGCAAATTAGGTACACATTTCAAAACAATATATTTTTTATGCAGCCTAGGCCTAAAAACCTAAGGATTTGGGTGTCACTTGTTTACTCAATAAGCATTCCCTGGATGCTTACTAAGTGCCAACCGTGGTGCCTTGCGTGACCAGTGGCTAGCTCAGAGGAAGACAACGCCTGTGCTGCTTTGGAGGAGTTTGCAATCCAGTACATGGGGCCAGGCTGAGCAACAGCACCCGGTGAACCCTCAGGACCACCAGATGCCACCGTGAGGGCATACTGTGGGCGACTTCAGTTACCTGGGGGTACAGAGAATTCTCAAAGATGTTTCAGTGGGGACAGGAGCCCACCTGCTCAGGGGTGGGTGGCTGCCTTCATATCTTGAGTTCTACCTGTGGACAAGTGGCTGCCACAGAGCTCAGCCCCCCACACGGCAAATGAGGGGATCGTGCATTTGGGAGTGTTGTGAAAATGAGGGGCAACACAGGTGTGTGACTTGGCCTTGCATCGCTGTGACAACACACTGAGAAAATCAGCTTAAGGAGGAGCGTTTATTTTGGCTCGTGGTATTTTGTTTTGTTTTGTTTTTCTTCCGGTACCAGGAATCGAACTCGCGACCTTGCACTTGCCAGGTGCAAGGGATTTAGCACTGAGCTAAATCCCCAGCCCCCAGCTCATGGTATTGAGGGTTCATCCCAAGGCTGGCTGGCTGGCTCCAGGCAGGAGGCCTCTGAGGCAGAAACATACTGGCAGAAGCGTGAGGAAGGGGAAGATGGCTCACTTTATGGCAGCCCGGAAGGATGGAGTGAGAAAGAGCCAGGCAGGAAGGGACCAGGGATCAGATACAGTCCATAAGCTCATGGCTCCACAACCCTTCAGCTAAGCCCCACTTCCTATACTCCCACTGCCTCTCCATAATGCCATCAAATTTCAGCTCACCAGGGTGTTGTGGCAGCAGCCGGTGCTCCTCCCCAAGGCGGGTCCCTGCCATCCTTGCTCCCTTAGATTGTGCAGCCAATTTCATAAGCAACCCAGGCACCTTCTGAACACCCTACCTCTGGACACAGGACCTAAGGGGTGATTAGACTTAAGCCCTAACAACAGATAAAGCACCTCTCAGGGTATCAGGCAGGTAGTGTGGTGCAGGCTTGCCATAAACACGATAGATATGATTATATATCAGTGTAAGAATCAAAGGGAAACTAGAGAAAAGTTTGGGAACTCCTGAAGATAGATGTCTAGAGAGGCAATTGGGCAAAGGCCCCCTCACTCAAGGGACAGTCAGCACTGCACATTCACATTCTGTTTCAGATGTCGGAACAAGCAATGCTACTTCCAGGCTCGCTGAATAGACTTTCAGAAGTTGGTCAGGAATTTTCCAGGGATGCTTGGGTCAGATTTTTTTGGAAGCAAAAGTGAGATAACCTAAGAAACCTCTCCCGGACCGGAGGACACCGGATTCCTCCGATCTGGGGAGGCTCCAGGAACAGACAGCCCAGGGTGCTGGGGCAGCGGGCGGCGCTCCTCCCCAAGGCGGGTCCCTGCCACCCTGCGCCCTTAGACGGTGCAGCCGGTTTCGTAAGCGACCGCGACCGACCGTGGCCGTCGCCGCCTGCCTGGGGCGGGGACCGGAGGAAATGGGGGTGATGTGATGCGGGGCGGGGCGGGAGGGAGGCAGAGGAGGGCGCCGCGGGCAGGAAGCGCAGCGCGGCGGCAGCC